AAAATAACGTACTTACTCATTCCTCACAAAAAAATCTCAATAGTGTAATATATCAAATGAACAAATCCACAGCTAGACTAAGGCGCAGCTGGGACATTCCGTGCGTAGGTTCGAACCCTCATCACGGCCCTTGTGGATTTGTTCATACTTATTATTATTTGTGTGACATTTGGCCCTCCAGGTGGCACTCAGTAATGCCACCAGCTGCGTATCTACTTCGTGGACCCTCACTACTGCTTCAATTACTACTACTACTACTACTACTGCTACTCTATGTGCGACAGACAGGTGCTTGCATCTTTAACACTGCATTATCCATCAGTTCCACTAACTAAAAGGTTACTGTTATCATCAGTACCGGTTGGGCACGTTTTTTTTAATTCATTTAAAATCCTTTTCTTAACATATTGGGATGAAATTTTCACGACGCTGATGCCAAATAACGTTAGATTTTTTTAACGTTTTATTCTATATATCATATTTAGACGAATATTTTGGGGATCCCGGTCACTTAACTACAGACCCGTATCATTAACAAGCATCTCCTGTAAAATACTTGAAAGAATAATCATGCAAGACTTGTTGCACACCTGGAGAACTGTAAACAAACACCAACGTGGGTTCAGGGAACGAAAGTCATGCCTATCAAATCTTCTGGTATTATATGATAACGTAACGAGACAGGGAACAGATGGGCAGGACAGGGAAGGATGGGCAGACTGCATATTTCTGGACTGAAAAAATGCCTTTGATACAGTACTGCACATAAGACTGCTATACAAACTTGAGAGGCAGGCGGGGGTAAGCGGAAAGGCCCTCGCATGAGTGAAGAACTACCTAACAGGAAGGAGCCAGAGAGTAACGGTAAGGGGCGAGAAGTCGGACTGGCGAACAGTAACGAGTACCTGGAGTGGCTTGCCAACCTGGCAAGCCACTCCACCCGTCGTTCCACCAAGAACAGTATAACACAGTGAACATATTTATAACAAGTCCAGACAGATGTACATAATAAAATATAATTTATATACAGCACTGCAAGGTAATTTAATAATATACGTCGATATATGTCCTCTGACTTCTGACTGAAAAATGACTTCTTTATGTCTATATGACATAAAGAAGTCATTTTTATATACAATTGGTACACCTCCTGGAGACTATTACCAAGGGGTCAGGGGGGTTACCAAGGGGTCAAGGGATTACCAGGGGGTAAAGGGATTACCAAGGGGTCAGGGGGGTTACCAAGGTGTCAGGGGGGTTACCAAGGGGTCAGGGGGGTTACCAAGGGGTCAGGGGGGTTACCAAGGGGTCAGGGGGGTTACCAAAGGGTCAGGGGGGTTACCAAGGGGTCAGGGGATTACCAAGGGGTCAGGGAGGTTACCAAGGGGTCAAGGGGGGGATAATTGGAGGAGTTCCAGCAGTTACGGGGTCACCGGTTGTTATGACTTATTTACCGTATAAATATACCTTCAATACATGTATGTATGAACCTAAACATCTGTTATTCTGTGCAATAATGTTTCTACAAGAGTAAGCTTACGAAAAGCAAGTGACTGAGCTCATGACCTCCACATACACTTACACCAATATTTACATGACGTATGTGGGGGTCATAAGAAACACGAGCAGGTGTAAAGTTATGGAAATGGGACTAGGTGGTTATCTTGAGGTTATCTTGAGATGATTTCGGGGCTTTTTAGTGTCCCCGCGGCCTGGCCAGGCCTCCACCCCCAGGAAGCAGCCCGTGATAGCTGACTAACACCCAGGTACCTATTTTACTGCTAGGTAACAGGGGCATAGAGTGAAAGAAACTTTGCCCATTGTTTCTCGCCAGCGCCTGGGATCGAACCCAGGACCACAGGATCACAAGTCCAGCGTGCTGTCCGCTCGGCCGACCGGCTCCCTAGGAGATAGGAGTGATAGGTGATAGGAGACCACAGGGACAGTACACAGTGAAGGGGAACAGCCAACCTGTGACGACGCGAGAAAGACCTGGGTGTGGACGTAACACCTAATCTATCTCCTGAGGCACATATAAATAGGATAACGACAGCAGCGTACTCTACACTGGCAAAAGTTAGAACATCATTCAGAAACCTAAGTAAAGAGGCATTTAGGGCGCTTTACACTGCCTACGTGAGGCCAGTCTTAGAGTATGCCGCCTCATCATGGAGTCCCCATCTGAAGAAACACAAAGAAACTGGAAAAGGTTCAGAAGTTTGCGACGAGGCTCGTTCCAGCGTTACGAGGGATGGGGGTATGAAGAATGCCTGAAGGAACTGAACCTTACGACACTAGAAAAAAGAAGAGAGAGAGGGGGGATATGATAGGAACGTATAAAATACTCAGAGGGATTGACAGTGGAAACAGATGAAATGTTCACACGTAATACTAACAGAACGAGGGGACATGGATGGAAGCTGGAAACTCAGATAAGTCACAGAGATGTTAGGAAGTTTTCTTTTAGCGTGATAGTGGGAAAAAATGGAATGCACTTAAGGAGCAGGTTGTGAAAGCAAACTCTATTCATAATTTTAAAACTAGATATGATAGGGAAATGAGACCGGAGTCATTGCTGTAAACAATCGATGGCTCGAAAGGCGGGATCCAAGAGTCAATGCTTGATCCTGTAGGCACAAATAGGCGAGTACACACGCGCGCGGCTTATATACAAACAATACCACTTATCTCACACTTCTTGTATTAGAAAGGTAATCTGTAATTGTCAAAGTTAAAGAAACAAGTGAGAGACATTATCGCAGTGGAAAAGTTTAAAAACATTTTGATAGTTTAAAAGGGAAGTGGAAGAGAGAGAGAGAGAGAGAGAGAGAGAGAGAGAGAGAGAGAGAGAGAGAGAGAGAGAGAGAGAGAGAGAGAGAGAGAGAGAGAGAGAGAGAGAGGAGAAAGGTTTTATAATTACCTAGGTGTAATTAAGTGTATTTATATGATGAGAACTACCTTGGTGGTGTCCCTTCCCAATAATCTCTGTCTCTGTGTGTGTGAGTTTGTGTGGTGTGTGTGTGTGTGTGTGTGTGTGTGTGGTGTGTGTGTGGTGTGTGTGCGTGTGTGCGTGTGTGTGTGTGTGTGTGTGTGTGTGTGTGTGTGTGTACTCACCTAGTTGTACTCACCTAGTTGTGTTTGCGGGGGTTGAGCTCTGGCTCTTTGGTCCCGCCTCTCAACCGTCAATCAACAGGTGTACAGATTCATGAGCCTATCGGGCTCTGTCATATCTACACTTGAAACTGTGTATGGAGTCAGCCTCCACCACATTACTTCCTAATGCATTCCATTTGTCAACCACTCTGACACTAAAAAAGTTATTTCTATTATCTCTGTGGCTCATTTGGGCACTCAGTTTCCACCTGTGTCCCCTTGTGCGTGTTCCCCTTGTGTTAAATAGACTGTCTTTATCTACCCTATCAATCCCCTTCAGAATCTTGAATGTGGTGATCATGTCCCCCCTAACTCTTCTGTCTTCCAGCGAAGTGAAAACTGTGTGTGTGTGTGTGTGTGTGTGTGTGTGTGTGTGTGTGTGTGTGTGTGTGTGTGTGTGTGTGCGTGCGTGCGTGCGTGCGTGCGCGTGTGTGTGTGTGTGTGTGTGTGTGTGTGTATATACACCGTAGTGAAGCGAGCTAGAGGGACAGTATAGAGAACAAGACGATGTTTGACATCCACCAGAGGCCACACCCCCAAAGAGTGTCCCCAGCGCCCTTGCACGTTCTTGAAACATTATATTGCACGGAGCTGATGCATATTGCATGATGCTTGCTTCTGCGTTCAGCTGCCCGTACTTTCCATGCAAATCTTGAGGGGGGGGGGAACGGAAATGGGGGCATGGGGGAGGTTACATACAATCTTCTTTTTTCTCACAGACTACATATTCTTCGCTAAACAATGGAGTGAACGTGGTTATATCTTGCCAAAGGAAGTGTGCTGAGATACGACACGTGGATATGACAGCCTATAAGCCTAAACCACACCCAGTACGTGACATAGGGAGGCTATGTATAAAGCTTGGCTCCACCCCCATGAGACCATGTATAAAGCTTGGCTCCACCCTCATGAGACCATGTATAAAGCTTGGCTCCACCCCCATGAGACCCTGTATAAAGTTTCCACTCTTATGAGACCATGTATAAAGCTTCCACCCTCATGAGACCATGTATAAAGCTTCCACCCCCATGAGACCATGTATAAAGCCTAGCTCCACCCACTAGACTCCAATATATTCTCCCCACCGTCTCCCTCATTCATATAATCTACCCTCACTATGCCTCATATTATGCCCCGCCGCATTAACTGACCTCATGATAACACAACACAAATGGGTTATTAAAATCCATGAAACAAAAAAATTCCGCTGTGCAAACTTTCGTCCTTCGGGGAGTTTTGCTAATTCACTTTCAGTTTCCAACCCGCACTCTGAGGAGAGAATTTAGTAAGACATTTAACTCACAACTTTATAAAGTTTTTTACGTGAAAATTCTCCACCGTCGATGCCAAGGAGTATGTAAGCAACTTGTCATCTTACAAGGAACGTCGCTTTTCGCTCTATGGCCAGAAATTGTCGTACTAGAAAACTGGAAGCGGCTGGCGAAAGTGACGTACTGTCCCGTTTTCTGTTTTGGGTCCTCTGGTAGGTTAGGAGAAGGGTGCTTTAAATTGACAGTTTTGTTGACGTTGGGAAACATTAGGAGGACGGGCTGGGGTATGAGATGATATTTTGACTCATATGCTATGTGAGTTTTTCCATGTGATTTTCCATGTTAAAATTTATGAGATTAACAACATTACGGATTTTCCTCCATTAAAATGATTTGTAAATTTGTTTTTCTAATAGCAGAGATGAAGTCTTTGTTGTCATCAGGTATATATTGTCTGCAAGGGAGGGTCTCTCTCTCTCTCTCTCTCTCTCTCTCTCTCTCTCTCTCCTATCCTATTTCCCATACTATTACACCAAGTGGTTTCTGGGGCCACGAAAAATATCAGACTTCGATTTA